TGATGATGATGATTGATGGTGATGATGGTAGTGATGGTGATGATGACAGTGATTATGGTGATGATGATGGTGATAGTGGTGGTGATGATGATGATTGATGGTGATGATGGTAGTGATGGTGATGATGACAGTGATTATGGTGATGATAATGGCGATAGTGGTGGTGATGATGATGACAGGTGATGATGGTGGTGATGGTGATGATGACAGTGATTGATGGTGAAGATGATGGTGATAGTGGTGGTGATGATGATGATGATTGATGGTGATGATGATGGTGATAGTGGTGGTGATGATGGTGATAGTGGTGATGATGATGATGACGGTCAGGTGATGATGGTAGTATGGTGATGATGACAGTGATTATGATGATGATGATGGTGATAGTGGTGGTGATGATGATGACAGGTGATGATGGTAGTGACGGTGATGATGACAGTGATTATGGTGATGATGATGGTGATAGTGGTGGTAATGATGATGATGGTCAGGTAGTGATGGTGATGATGGTAATGATGGTGATGATGACAGTGACTGATGGTGATGATGATGGTAATGGTGGCAATGATGATGGTGATGATGGTCAGGTGATGATGAGCTGATTTAAAAATGGGCAAATGACCTAAATAGACATTTCTCAAAAAAGATGTATAAATGGCAAACATATGAAAAAATGTTCAACATGACTACTCATCAGAGAAATGCCAATCAAAACCACATTGAGATACCATCTTACCCCACTTAGAATGGCTGTTATCAAAGGGACAAAAAAATAGCAATTGGTGGCCAGGATTCAGGGAAAGCTAGCATTGCTAACCATATAAATTAGCACAGCTATTGTGGAAAGCAGTGTGGAGGTTCCTCAAGAAGCCTGAAACAGAACCGCCACATATCCAGCACTCCCACGACTGCGTAGACATCCAAAGGAAATCAGTATGTCACGAGACATCAGTACTTCACAGTGAGTTACAGCCTCAACATAGCCAAGAGATTGATCAATCAACCCAGTGTCCACTGAAGGGTGGACAGATGGAGAAAATGTGGTCCACACCTGTGTTAGAATATTACTCAGCCACGAAAGTGAATGGCAAAATATCAGTTGCAGCAACATGAACAGAAGCAAAGGATGTTATGCTAGGGGAATCAGTCAGGCGTAGAAAGACAAATCCCACAAGTTCTCATTTACATGGGGAAAGTTGGATGGTGGTTCCCAGAGCCTGGGAAGGCAAGGGGGAGAGGGATGGAGAGAGCTCAGTTACCAGGTGCAGCATTGTGGGGTAGAGGAGGAGTAAATTCTAATGTGCTACAGCACAGTAGGATTATGACAAAAATCAATGGTATATTTCAAAGTGGCTGGTAGAGAGGACTGGAATGTTCCCAAGACAAAGAGCAACGACTGTTTGAGATGCTGGATGTGCCCAGTTATTCTGATCTGATCATTGTGCTTGTATATACATATCAAAGTGTCACACTGTACCTCCAAAATATGCATAATTACTACGTGTCAATAAAAGTTAAAAATACATTAAAAACATAAAAACAAACTGGATCACTAGTAACTCATTTAGAAAACTGTACATAGCTTTTATTGTTTTGATTCAAATTCTTTTTTTTTTTTTTTAATGTTTCACAAAAATATCGATGATTTTGGACTGGTGACATAATCTAAGGTTACAGATTTTGAAGAGGACTAATTTGAAAGCATTCATATTTTGAAATACATTTGTACCTGTGCATAATGCTACTGATACAGTGCATGTTCCGCTTTTGAGAAGAGGTATGAGCTTAAAGTCAATCAACAGCAACGATGGAGCACGTCTCTAGATACGAAGTACACTGATTTCCCTTTTAAATGCCAAAACTCAGGCTAGTTAGATTAGTCATGTGTGAAACTAATGACATAAACATTCACACCAACAAATGTGTATAAGAGCTGAGAGAGCCAAGAAGGGTTGGTGGATCGTCTTAATGTCCGTTTCTTGGGATGTTGTAATTCACTGTGCAAGATGTTACCACTGGGGGAAACGGGCTGAAGGGCATTTGGGATTTTACCTTATTGATTCTCAGAGCTGCATGTAAATCTATTATCATCTCAAAATAAAAGATGGGGGAAAGCAAGGAAGAGAACAGTATAGAAAATTGCCATTCATTTAAAAAATATATGCAAATTTGATCCCCAGCATTGCAAAAGAAGTGTATATATAGTGTGTCAATGTACACACGCAGAGAGACTCACAGGTACACTCCCGGGCCAGTCGTACCTACTGTTTCTCTAAGGATAACTAAGACCCAGGGACACGGATCGCGTCTGAGGAGCGCGACCTGGGGGTAGAAGCCACCCAGCATTCTTGCCCACTGAATCTCACGTTCCTGGCAGTCCTCATTCAAAGCACGATTTTCAAAGAGTGAGAACGAAAACAGACATTTCCAACAGAAAGCAGACCAAAACAAAACCCAGAACAGCGGAGCAGAGACCGAAAGGCCAGTGAGCCATGTCAAGAGCCACAGTCCCGAGAGACGGGTCCCGGGGAAGCCGGGAGGACAGAAGTGTAAGGAAGGGTCTTACGGCTGGAGACGCAGTAGGACAGTCTGCAGTTGATCTTCCTGAAGAGCTGCTTGTTGATGGGCCAGAGGACGAGCGTGCAGAGCTGCGCGGCGTTGATGATGAGCCCCGAGGCGATGAACACGTAGCAGAAGACCAGGTGGCACAGGAACTGGGACTTCAGCAGTCCAACGAGGTCCATGACGTGAGACGTTCTTGTTCAAAAATAAATAAGTAGCTGCGGTAGAATACGTCCAGACGAAAGGAAGACCCAGGACTCAGGAAAAGCCGCTGAAACACAAACAGATGCCAAACATTAGCCAAAGCGTGATGTGCTTTTGAAGTCAGAAAAGAGGCTCTGAAAAGAAAAATTTATGCTCGAGATTAGACTCTGTGCCTCGGTCGATTTACTTTTATTTCGCAAATATTGCCACGCGCTTAGTTCGTGCAGGTGCAGTCTGGATGCTTTTGGAACAACATCCCCTCTCACTCTCGGGAGCCCTTTGAAGTTGGGACCATTATTGTAGATGGGTCTCCACGCTCCCAGCTGAGTGGTGGCCAGGTGGGCACTGAGCCACGTTCCCACGTGCTGTCCCCGGTCCATGCGCGGCTCCCAGCGAAGGCCCCAGCTCTGGGCCTTCCCTCTGTCCCCCCCCCACACCTGTCCCTCTGTGTCTTGTTTGTTCTCTTCCTCCAGGTCTCAATGGCCCCTCCCTTCTGGCAGGACGAGCCTGAACTCCAGCCCTGGGCTTCGTTTTGGGGACACAGTGGGGCTGGACTGGCCCCCCAGTACCCCACCCTAGTGCACATCTGCGGTCACTCTGCTTGCTGGTCCAGGGGCTCGCCTTCCTCCTCTGGGCTGCCAGCTGCTCCAAGACCATCTTGAAGATCATCACCGTCTCCCGGCCCCGGAGACCATCATTAGCACGTGGACAGAACGCAATTATTTTCTAATATTTGCAGAATGATTTAAGGAAGGTAGACAGAGGTTGAACTTTGTAGATGCCAGTAAACACTCCTAACTATGGAGACAAGAAGACTCCCCCACTGCACCCCGTCTCCCCCCACACACCTTAAATGTTCTAAAATCAGACACGCAACACATACAGAGCAACCAGATTCCTGGTCCTGTGACCAGACTCCAGCTCCAAAACGAAAGCATGAAAGGACCTCACAGTTTGACACATGAAGCCTTTGAGGCAAGGCGCGAAGGCAGGGGTCCCTGGGAGGCTCTGATGCAGGCTGGCGGGAGCAGAGTGTACCCCAGGAAGAACACAAGTTCCAGGACGAACTTTAATAGTTGACAGATCCGAGATTTGTCACAATCTTCATCAATAATGCCCCCAAGTGAATGGTCTACATAATAGCTGCACATCTGTTATCTCCTTCAACACGCCCATGAATCCTACAAGGTAAGTATTATTAACCCATTCCTCAAAAAAAGAAACTGAGGCAACTCCTAAGTTGGGCAACTGACAACCGCTCTTGGGGCTTGGCTGTGACTCTGAGCTCTTTCCTGCACCTCCCCTGGCTGTTGTACTCCTCAGGTCTGAGGAGGGGCTTCTCTTGGCTCAGAACAGCCCAGAAGTTATCCCAAGAGCAAAAGACCAGTGTGGCCTGCGTGGAGGTTCATGGGCCCAAAGGACGCTCAGAGTGGGGAAGCTGGCCTCTCTCCTGGGAGCTCTAGGGTGGCTTGGGGACGACCTCAGCTGTGAGGATGGTCACAGGAGGCACGTACCACTTGCCCAGGTGATCTGGAAGGGGTACTGCACCCTGTGTTACTCCTATGGCTTTCCGAGAGGGACGTGCCACGGAACCTCTGGCCTGCTTTCTCTGCAATCGGCGTGGCAGAGCTGGTCAGAACGGTCACGTTTCAGCCCTTCCTAGACAGCATTTCTGCAGATGTTTCCCGACTGTGAACTCGACGCGGGCACCTCCCTCTCAGGACCAGGCACAGAGCTTGTGCAGCCACATGCACAGGAAGGAGTGATTTTGGATACAGTTGGCAGCAGTCGCCGTTGGATGTTGAATATTCATGCAATTTATTCCTAGTACCTGGATTAGTCACTAATAGCTTCCAGACAGTCTTGCTAGAAGTGTGATTCTTCCCTGGGTTCCTGGGGTCTAGCAAACATAGGTCACATACTTAACAAATCCTTTGCTGATTTGGCACCAAGAAAAGGAAACCAGCCAATATCAGATATGCAGGGGTCCCGGGCCGCCTTCTTCAGCTCCCGATCAGTGGCAGGGTGTTAGGAAAAGGAAGGATTTTCTCCTTGTAAAAGTTCAAGACCACCATATCCTCAGGTAAAACCCTCCCTGGTACTAACACACTGGGGCTCAGCACGACATTGGCAGTGTTCAAGGGGGGACCGGCGGCAGGCAAGCCTTCGGAGGAGTGGGCACACAGCCCTGGTTTCTTTGGGTTCTTAGGTTTTTGACCTCCACCTCTGACCTCTGAGTCCCAGTCTTAGACTGCTGTGGGGGCGGGGAGCAGGTGGAAGCCCTGGGTTGCCTGGGTTTGAAGCTCTGCTCTATGTCCAGTCTGTAAAAAGGGATAATAGATTTTAATCCACCTCCTGAGAAGGGCATCGATTTTGGATTTTGTGAGTGTGATGACGTTGGGCGTGGGTGGCCTTTCAGAGGTGGGGCCTGGTGGGAGGTGGTTAGGTTACAGGGGGCACTGCCCCTGGAGGGATAATGCTGGTCTAAAGAGTGAGTGCTCATGAGAGCAGATTGTCATAACAAATGAGTCAGTCCCTCCTGGCTCTCCGGTCCTGCCTTGCCATGTGGTCTGTCACTCTCCCATGCTCCCACCCTCATACTATCCATCCACCAGGAGGCTTTCATCAAGGCCACGCAGAAGCAGGTGCTCTGCTCTCAAACCTCCAGAACTATATGCTAAACAAACATCTTTTCTTCATATATTATCCAGCTTCTGGCATTTTGTTATAGCAGTGAAAAAAAGGATTTATAAACTGATTCTCAAATTTATATGTAAAAACAAAATAAGAATAGTCAGGAATTTAACTGAAAAACAAGGTGAAAATGCTGTAAGTTATTAAATAATTTAACTCTTTAGTCTTAGTGCTGATAATTAAGAAAGAAACAAGGTTAAATTATTTAGAGAGGTGGATAAATAAGTGAAGCATGTCTTAAGTTTATTCCAAGTACAAGTTTGGGTTAATCATCTTCATGGTGCTAAATCATGTCTTTCTCTTACAAGGTGGCAATTAGCCAATTTACTATCAGACTGAGAAAAGAGGGTATAAGCAAGCATCTGACCAGGGTGAAAGAGCCAGAGAGAAGACATTTTAAAATGGTTTGCCTCTCCTCTTTCAGCTTTGTTAAGTACCTAGAAGGTAATGGGGACAAACTGCCCAGCAAACCCACTTCAGTGGCATACTACATGAGCAAGGATGTGATTAGAATTTTATGCTAATACCAGAGCAGTAACTTACAGAATTTGTAAATCAACAAAAAACTATGAAGCTGTTTCCACATTTCTTATCATTAAGATATTTCTTGTCATTAAGGGCAACAATGAAGAACTCATGTGCCCAAATACCAAAAACAACCTTATCGTTTGCTCGTTTTGGGCACTTACAAAAGCAACGGCGGTGGTCTGCACAGAAATCTGCACAGGGTCTGCACCGGGTCTGCACGGGGTCTGCACAGGGACTGCACAGGGTCTTCAGTGGTCTTCAGTGGTCTGCACAGGTCTGCAGAGGGTCTGCAGCAGTCTGCACAGGGTCTGCATAGAGTCTGCACAGGGTCTGCAGCGGTCTGCAATGGTCTGCACAGATCTGCACAGGATCTGCAGTGGTCTGCACAGGGTCTGCAGCGGTCTGTGCAGGGTCTGCACAGGGTCTGCAGCGGTCTGCACAGGGTCTGCCCAGAGTCTGCAGGGGTCTGCACAGGGTCTGCCCAGAGTCTGCAGGGGTCTGCACAGGGTCTGCCCAGAGTCTGCAGGGGTCTGCACAGAGTCTGCACAGGGTCTGCTCAGGGTCTGCACAGGGTCTCCACAGGGTCTGCCCAGAGTCTGCAGGGGTCTGCACAGGGCGAGCTCTGCAGTGCTTTTAATCCTTTCCAGAACACACCGCAGGACCTTGAGAATGGCCCCTCTGCATGTCAAGCAGGGAGCCCGTCCTGCTGGGCATCCTGGTCCAACAGTCCACACAGTGAACCTTGGCCACGGAGGCCAGCGCAGGCCACCTGGAGGGCAGACAGAGGGGACACAACTGAGGCTTACGGTACAGGTGTCCCCAGAGTGAAAGGCAGAGAGAGGATTCTCACAGGAAGGGGAATCCCAGAGCAGCTGTACCCAGGTGAGCTAATATGGCAAGCGGAAGGGACGGTCGAAACACGACGACTTTGTTCAGAGGCGTCACAGGGAACAGACGCAGTGCCAGAAAGCCCAGTTTGCACATCGCACCTGAACTTCCCAGCAGGAGAGTCCAACCCAAGAGCTTGACACAGATGTCAAAAATCATTGCATCAGTGTTTTAAACAGACAAAAGAAATTGTCACTAGGAATCACAATAGGGTCAAGAAGGGTAACTGACTCCAAATTGTCCTTCTTTCCCAGGCTGCTGATAGATCAGTCGATTTTGAACTAATCATTGGATTAAGTTTCTAGCAGTCGCTGAGGACATGACGGAAAACCCTCAACTATGGGTCAGTTTTGTTAAGTTAGTTCATAGCTATTATGTGGAGGGCTTATGAGAATATTTGGATTCAAACACTTCTCAAGGACATGATCCTGGGTTGTGAAACAACAATGTAAGGTATCTAGGTACCATTCTCACTACCTCTGTGGCTCTATCCATGGGTGTAAGTAGTGGCTACCTTTTGGTTGAAGGACTATGACTTATTTACTTTTCCTCTCTGTGCTTTATTATCCATTCCTATGGGCACAGAATGGGGCGGCCCTGCTTCCCAGCTCCCATGGAGGCCAGAGGACAGGCACCACGCAGGTGGGATGCAGGTGGGGTACTACATGTCTCCAAGGAAAGAGCAGCCAGTCGCCTACTTGCAGAAAGAACCACGGGTGGACTTCTGCTCAAGAGCCGGGGAGGTGACTGTGCAGCCAGTCAGCAACAGAAGAAAGGGCTCTGGAAGGTGAAGGAGCTGCAGCCACTGGGAACCCAGCCCCGTGGGGTGGGTGGGATGAAGCACATGGAGCTCAGGCCGCGCTCCGAGCTGGGCCTTACAGCTCCAAGCTGCTTAGCTGACGCCCTTGGCTTCCCCATCATCACGAGGCGGCCGTGAGGGGTGAGCCAGACACACTG